CTGTAGACAGAACACGAAAATATATCATCAAGATGAACTCATTCAGAGGTGAAACCTAGAGCAATTGAATATTTTACAAGAAGAACATCAGGTATGAGAATTATATGTGGACATGAAATTCTAGACCTAAACCATAATTGGTAAGGAACTGACAGAAAGACCTGCACAGCGAACACTAGAAGAATCAATTGTCCAAATTCTTCCATCTAAGTAGAGAGACTCAGTTAAAGATTTTTTTTATTAAAAGAAGGAATTCAATAAGACAAAGAAAACACAAACAACAAAGAACAATGAAAAAAATAAACGAAGCAAGGTACCTAACTCTAAGGGAACTTCCTTTAAAAAGACCATTTGCTTAACCAAATAGAAGCCAATAGCCTAATCCTATCCCAAATCCGCTACTGATCCAAAGAAATCTACTTAAGTATGCAATAGTTACACTCCAATCATATGCAACTAAGTATAGCATAGACATTATCACAAAAATTAAAAGCTAATCATGAAAAATTGGTCCAAGGATCTAGGGCGCACCCAACATTCTCCCAAAATGCCAAACAAAATTCCAAAAAGAAACAACAGAACAATGTAAGAACAGACGAGGGACAGATTCCGAACTTGCACCACATAAAAATAACACACATAGCAGGGGAAATAGCTACAAACTTGCAACATGTCATTGGTATTAATTCTATTAAGCATTGAAGTCCAAATAAAAGACCTGGACTTGGAGGGAGTTTTAGACATTCAAAGAGGTTTGTCAAGATGGAACATAGCTCCATGCAATGAATGAGTAAGGAATTGCAGACAAAAAAGATTTGCACCAAAAAGGATCAAGAAATCAAATCCTTCTATCTTGACTTAGGGCAAAAAACCATAGTCATGAAGACCCAAAAGAGACTCTGAATCACTGAATTCCCTATCATTTCAGCGGGGGGAGTGGAAACACATGACAAAAGTGGCTTGAACACTGAAAAATATGCTAGGAAAAATGGGTAAGGAAGAAAAGCAGGATTAAAATAATTAACCACCTGTATAATTCACGATGGGAAAGGAATTTACCAATTGCCATAGTTCATAGCGGGTAGGGAAACATCACTGCTGTGATCATCAGAGGGTAAAGACACCATGGGAATGATCCTCAGGCTTAGTATGACAAAACAATATAAACACCAGTATTGATTAACTTCATTTACCAACAAAAATGGTGCCAAGAAGCAACTCGAACCCTAACTTCCACAGCACCGTTCAACTCCACAACACAGCCGTGATGTCCAACCTCGGTTGTGGGTTTACGACACAGTTAAAAACCTCATGCAGACGAAGAACATAGTCCACTGGTCGCTGAGTTTAAAGCTCGTGTGGATAAAATGGTGACCAAGGAAACCACGCTGTGGATGAGGGAAATCTTCTTTGGAGGACAAATGGCACGCTCTGGCCACTTGTATGTTTAATACGCTGTGTATTGGGGTTAAATTTGTAATTTTATATCATTTACCCATCAATATTTTTTCTTAAACCAAACATAGGTTTCCAAAATTTTCATACATTTTCCTGGTAAAATTTTGTCCAACCAAACTACTTTTTTTAACTTCCCCATCTATTTAACTTTCTCTGTGGATCCCTAGTAATTACATTTCTCCGGTGAACTAAAATATACTCGTGAACCAAACACCACCTAAGGGGCGTTTGGTTGAGGAGAATTTTTTTGAATATTAGGAAAATGTAATTGATAGGGAAATGGTTGAAAGTGAGTTTGGTAGGAAAATATAAAAAAAGTTGTTTGGTTGAGTAAAATATTACTGGAAAAAAGTTGTAAGTTGTACTGTGCATATGTTGCTTTTTGCCATTTACCCAGCTTTCTCCCAAATACCATGTTAGAAATGGGTAAATTGAACACTGCTTTTCATCCATTTTTACACACAATTATGAAATGATGGGGAACCAAGTTAGCTAGGAAAATCTTGTAATTTTTTTTTACCAAATATGGATAACACAAAAATCCAATCTCATATGCCTAGGTATCCTCACAAAAAGCTCCAACCAAACACCACCTATGCGTTTGGTATCAGCTTTTTGCAAAAAATGTTGGGAAAGTGGGGGTGAGAAATTTTATTCCCATGTTTGTTACGAGCTTTTTTTAAAATAATCTTGGTAAAAAAATTCCCATCATTTTTTTTTGGTAAATATTTTCCCATCATTTTAATTTCTAACTACTCGTTGTTAAAAAATAAACCCATTTTCCCCATGGTTTTTATTTTTCCCCACATCTCAGATTTTTGTACAAAAATTTAGAGACCAAAATGTCCTCACATAATACATTTGCGTTTTCTACTTAACTCAATTGACGTTGTTGTTTTTGCATTATGGAACAAACATATATAATAATAATAATAATAATAATAATAATAATAAGAACAGCTTAGATAGTAGTGTCAAATTTTTTGATGTCAATTTTGTCATTTCAAAATTTAAAAATAAGGATAATTTTGTCATTTAGGTCAAGATTCTCATCAATATTTTACAAATAACCAAACATAAAATTTGTAAAATTAACTTAATATTTTTGACAAAATTTTGTTCTACCGAACATATTTTTGTAACTTACCCGACAAATTTTTTTTTCCTTTATATTTTCAGAAATCTTTTCTTCCCAATAAAAAAAAATATCTCTCGTACCAAACGCATACTCTCCAGGTTTTTTTTGAGGGAGAGTTCTATGTAAGAAGGACACGTTGAAGCTTAAGTGGCATGCCAATATCATGCCAAATCCACACTACATGCATGCATCAATAACATGTCGTGCTATTGTTGCGCCAAGTCAACACCACATGCATGGGCAAAATAATATGGTGTGCAAGTATTATCATTGGTAAGGAAAATATTTGTTATTTTTAGGACATAAAATTATGTCATTTTAACTGAGAGATAAATATAAACTAATATTTTTTATTTAAAATTTAAATTAAAAAATCACTCATATTTTCTTTCTATAATTTTCATTATTTATATTTTTCTCTCACATAAAATGATATAGTTTTATATCCTTTTAAAAAACAAACATTAAACCCTTATTGGTATTATAAATGAATTGGAATATATTCTTTGCATGATTCTGTTAATATATATGCTACAAGTTTTTCAATAACTTTGTTATTAGTTTTGCTTCTTTTTGTTAATTTTTATCGTGCTTAGTGCTTACCACCTTTAAAGAACCTTTGAAGTTTCAATTATTATTATTTTTTTTTTTGATAACAATTCAATTATTTTTTTGTTTTGCTTAAACTTGCATGTCCTTGAATCTTATCCACATTCTAATATGATAAAAATTAAAACAATAGGATACCAAAAAATAAATAAATTAAAACAATTGAATCTCTTTTATAATTGCATGGTCTCTAATCTTGGCCTTACCCTTGTGTTAATTTGAAATAAGTTAATGTAATCATATATTAAATTAATGATGTAACGTTAATGTATGAATGGAAAATTCGTTTATACTTAAATGTTTTTACAAAATAATTTTTTTAGATTTATGAAAAAAATACTAAAACATCTTTTATACATAAGGTTTTTACTTTTTTTTAAAAAGGTTTTTTAAGTAGTATAATTTTTTTAATTAAAATAATTGTTTCTTAAGAAATGCAAAACAAACCGGCATGAAACCACGCTTCAGTTTTGTTAAACCATGCGTAACTCAATTTCCTTAAAAAAAAGTAACAAAAAGAACCATGCGTAATTCGTGCTATATTACGTGGGCTAAAACGCTAGCACACGGGTAATAGCTACCTCTATTAATTGTTTATATATTTAATAATAGAATAAATATTCTTTTTAGTCCCTAACAAAAAAATACGATCTTCACCTTAGTCCCTTATAAAAATAAATTAGTCGGTTAGTCCCTAACAAATTCAAAATGGACCCATTTAGTTAAAATTGTGGTCCCTCACAAATTCAAAAAAAATCCATATTAGTTCCTCAAAAGGACTAAAATAAGTCCACCTTGAATTTGTTAGGGACTAACTAACTAATTTATTTTTTTAAGGGACTAAAGTGGGGACCGTGTTTTGTTAGGGATCAAAAAAGATATTTACTCTTAATAATATATATAGAATTGAATCAAATATTAAATATTTATTAGTATTAACTAAGATTACACGATTAATAAACTAAAATCAATAAAAGTAAATGTAATTATTAATTAATAACCTATATAAATTTTGGGTTTATAGAGTTAATTTAGATAACTTTATTTAATATTCATTAAATAAACATAAAAAAGTGTGTGGCCCTATTTTTTATTTCTTCTTCTTTTTATATGAGTTCACATGAACCTCACACTTTTGTGGGTATTTGATAACATTAAATGAAGTTATCTAAAATAATTTTAGAAACTTTAAATCCATAAATTTTATGTGATGATTTATATAAATATATAATCAGATTATAAATTATGGATCTAAAGTTTTTAAAGTTACTTTAAATAACTTTATCTAATATTTATTAAAATACAAACAAAAAAGTATGTTAAATCTATCTATGTAGACCCATGTGAAGAGGAGAAAGAGAAAAAAATACGAGCCTCTACACTTTTGTGTAAGTATTTTAATAAACATTAAATAAAATTATCTAAAATAATTTTAAAAATTTTAAACTCATAAATTATATATTCATCGATGGAGATATATATATATAAATTTATATCGATATAAATTAATTTTTGATATATATATATATAATATTTTTCTTTAAAAAAATATAATATTTATATTTGAATTGGTTAATAAAAATGGAAGTTTCGTTATCTAATTCCGGGAAAAGCTGGAGAAAAAAGAAAGAGTAAAATAAAAATAAAAATAAAAATAAATTATTTTTCCATTTCTATATTTATTTTAATTTGCGTAATATATATTGAATTTGTTTGTGGGTTTGGCTTGTTCTATAAGTTCAAAGGTGAGAAGCTAGCTTCGTTGGTCACCCGCCGCCTGAAACAACAACGTCAACCACGAGGGGTGGGAGAGAAAGAGAGACAGAGAGATTTGGGTTCACACCATCTTAAACTCATGCTCTTTTCTTACACAATACATTGCCCAATAATCCCTCTTCACACTTCCCCATTTCTTGGTTGATTGAGATTTGAGGCAATTATTTTCAAAATTGAGCCAGCGAAGTTCCTAATTTTCTCACCTTCTTGTTGTGCCCATTAACAGAAGAAGAAGCCTTTGGATATAACAGAAGCACCTTGAAAGCCCCGTCATTGTAAAGTTCCTATTTTTCTCATTATTTGATTCTCTACGCTTTTTGTTCGAATACCCATCTTTTCTTTCATTGTAAAGTTTCGTTTTTTGTTTTTCTTGTTCTGCATGTGATGTCTTTGTAATGTCACTGCCGTTTTGTCTATTTTATCCTCCTATTCCCATACCCTTTAATGTTTGTGTTGTTGTCATCATTTTCATGGTTTTGTCAGAGCACAAAGGTAATTTGATTTCAGAAATTACTGCTTGAGTGGTGATGGTGATGGCACTATGTTTCTCTGTTTGTTTAGTCTTACGTTGTTGTTGCTGCTGTTGTCATAGTAATAATCTCTGAATTTGTGTATGTTACTTAGGAAAAGCTCCAGAGGAAGAATGAAGTACGTGTTGGTAACGGGTGGTGTTGTTAGTGGACTTGGGAAAGGAGTCACCGCTAGCAGTATTGGGGTGCTCCTTAAGGCCTGTGGTTTTCGAGTTACTTCTATTAAGATTGGTATTCTTCCTTCTTTGAATTGAACTCTCACTCTTTTCTTTTTCTTTCCTTTAATGAAAAAATGGTGAATTGATGGGAAAAAGAATTACTAGGTGGGTGTTTGCGTTTTTTTGTATCTGGGTTGGTATGAATTCAGATTGAATGATAAAATCTTGGTTCAGTTGATTGGATGACCAACTTGATTATGTGATGTTTCATGTGAAAGGAACTTTTTTATTGTCTTATAAGCAAAGGACTTAGCTTGCATTCACTTTTTGAGCTTGATGAATGCAGTGAAAACTCTGGTCTTCCTTTTAGTGAAACTAGTCTTTTGGTGTTATGTAAAATATTTATGTTTTTTTTTTTATTATTCTAGTTGTGTTCAAACTTATCTATCACTTGCAGATCCCTACCTGAACACTGATGCGGGGACAATGTCTCCTTTTGAGCATGGGGAGGTGTTTGTCTTAGATGATGGCGGTGAGGTAAATAGATTAGTTAGCTGCGTGTTTTTTTTTTTTATTTGTTCATGGGAGGCAAATTGCTTGTTCCTTTCAGGGTCTAAACTTTTTGCTTGAGATTGTATTTGATTAATTTTTAGTAACTTGGCATCTGCCATTACCATGTGAATGGTTTCAGTTGTTATGTTTTATTCATGTTTTATTTTCATTGTTTTTTTCTTGGTTGAAGGTTGACCTTGATCTTGGAAACTATGAACGTTTCTTGGACATCAAATTAACTCGTGACAATAATATCACAACTGGGAAAATATATCAGGTGGAGACACTGTCTGTTTTTCTCTTTTTATTTGTCTTATTAGTTTTTTATTTTTACTTGGTGAGGTGTGGCTATGGTTTGTTAATGTTTTGATGTTTTGAATGCTTAGTCTGTTATTGAGAAGGAGAGAAGAGGAGATTATCTAGGCAAGACTGTGCAGGTATGTTTTGTCCTTCTAATTTTTCCCTTTCAATCTATTTGTTATGGTTGATTGTGTCTTGGTTTTGATTTCACCTGTGCTGCACTGGTAGGTTGTTCCACACATTACAGATGCCATCCAAGAGTGGATTGAGCGTGTAGCACATATACCCGTTGATGGAAAAGAAGGCCCAGCTGATGTTTGTGTCATTGAATTGGGTGGAACTATAGGTAAGTTAATATTATTAGGACAAATTTTAAATTAATACTAAGGTTGAATTTGGTTTTCAGTACTATTATAGTTTTATTAAATTTTTATATATTTTTATTTTAAAAATCATGATTGAGGTTGAAGTATAAATTTAAACTAGTTTATATTTGGCAAAGAGTGAGTGCAAGTAGTATTGATTTTAGCAGTATTTAAAAAAAAAATGCCAGAACCTCTATATTATGAAATATTAATTTAAAATGACTTTTCTTTAATTTAATGTAGGGGATATCGAGTCTATGCCTTTTATTGAAGCTCTTGGCCAATTTTCGTACCGTGTAGGTAATGCTTGAACCCTCATAGTCTGCTGAATTATATCAACAAATTTGTGTTGGTTGTGCTTTAGTGAAGCAGTCTTGCATATTTTTTTATTTTTTTTCTAGGCTCTGGCAACTTCTGTTTAGTTCATGTCAGCCTGGTGCCTGTTCTCAATGCTGTTGGTGAACAGGTATACTTTAAACTGTATATTATCAACAAAACATTTTTATATATGTTTATTAGATTTAGATCAGGGGAAAAACATTTAGACTTATTAGTGAGTTTAAAATGGAATTGTTTTGTTTCCGTTTAGATATATGTTTCACTATAAATAAAATGGATTGAGATGCTGTCGTTGCATCTTTTCAAGTGGTACAATCAATTTAAAGTCATCTCTTACTTATTGCAAGTTTTAATCTGCAGAAAACAAAGCCAACGCAGCACAGTGTCCGTCAACTTAGAGGATTAGGATTGACCCCAAATTTTCTTGCTTGTCGCAGTTCAAAGGTCTGGTTTTTGCTTTTGCGTTTTCTTTTCATCCTGTTCTCTGTAATAATGATTGAAGATTTTTACTTTGTCTTTACCAGGAACTTGATGACAATGTCAAGGAAAAACTTGCTCAATTTTGTCATGTCCCGGTAATACGGCATAAATGTTGACAACTTTTCCTTTGCCTCTTATTATATCCTTACATATATTCTCAAAGCAAACTTTTGTATCTGCAGTTATCGAACATACTTACTCTCTATGATGTTCCAAATATTTGGCACATTCCTTTGCTATTAAGAGTGAGTAATTCTGTGGTATTTTATCAAACTTCATTCTGTGCTTCTCTTCTAGTATTACAGGAACCTTGTTCATGAAGTTTTAAATTGTTTAGCTTGTATTTTAATATCTTTTTGCCTAGATAGTTAAATTTTAGGGTAAAGTTACTATCATGTAACATAACCTAACCAATTTTTCCTACTCAAACAAAGATACATGTGGGTCCATACATATAATAAAAACAAAAAATAAAAAATGCTAATGCGGAAACCAATGTGAGAGTGGGTAAAATTTTTTATATCATGTTACATAATACTAGTTTTTCCCTAAATTTTATTATTTTCCGTTAAGTGATGTGATTCATATTATAACCATAAGTTTTTCTTTTGATATTATACTTTTTCAAATAGGACCAGAAGGCACATGGGACAATCCTGAAAGCATTAAATATGGGAAGGTTTGTTTGGCAAACTCATTCTTGTGTTGGTGTATTTCGGCCCCTAAAAAGAATGTTATCCCATTCTGCTGATATTCTAAGCATATATTGTTAGTTATGATATGGTAGGTACCTTAAGTGGTTCTGTCATTCCACTAATGATCCCTATTATTTGCAGTGTTGCTATGGAGCCTAATTTTAAGGAGTGGGTTGATAGGACAAAAGTTTACGACTCATTTCATGAATCAGTGGGTTTCAATATTTCATATATATTATGTCAAAAAAACAGAACTAATATATGTTTAGATATTTTTCTCTGTAAATAGTGCTAGGTATTGACCTCATAACTATTATGTTCTTCACAGGTTAGAATTGCAATGGTGGGAAAATATACTGGCCTTTCAGATGCATATCTTTCTGTCCTTAAGGTACATCACTCTAATTTCTTTTGCCAATGTTTGGTAGCAGTACATACTACATAATAATTCCCATTTATTTCTTTTTTTGCATTCTCTGCAACTTGCATTTTTAGTAGATGAATTTGTTGAGAAAGGCACAGTAAACTGTTGGTCTATAGTAGTATTATCAATCTATATTATTCTGTTAGATTTTATAGGAGTTTAATCACTAGTTTATCATTTTCGGTGCTGATTCTTAGTGTGGATGATCTGCAGTGATATAACCAGTATTGAGTATCCTTATTACCCCTTACAATTCTCATGCATGGAAACCTGAATTTCAGGGAGACTTGCAACGATTGATGGAGATTAGGAGTTTTTTGAATGCTGTTGAAACAGCAGATGGATGTTTATGGAAGTGTACAGCCATATTGTTACAGTCACGGCCAAAGGAAAGGATTTGGTAGAATCTGACATAAAAGCAAAAGAACCTTAAGAAAATAAGGAAAAATAGAAATAAGATAGGAGAATCTATGACTTGCACCTAAAGTAAGCATCAGATTTTCAAGAGTGGTAGGGAGTCATAAGATGTGACTAATTATGCATCACAGATACATATATATCCTGATAGAAGATGTTGAACTGCTGTTCATCTGCTCTCTGTTTTTTTCACTTGCAACTCTGCTTAATATCAATAGCAGAGCATATGTCAACAGATTTAGGGATTTATTTATGTAAAATAATTAACGAAAGTTTTTTCGTATTACCTTTTATTTTATCTGCAAGCATTATGTTATATTTCTTTATGAGTAGGCTTTATCCATGAATTTTTTTGCTTTGTTGTCAGTGCTTCTTTCTCTTTTTCAGGTAAATGGATTTAATGTTTGTTTTTTGTGAGGATAAACCAGGGACTTCTTATTTCTTAAAATGCGTATAATAATTCATTCACAAATGATTGATTTGGATGGCTTTGGGCTTGCATTGTATTAGAGTATATATAAGCTTTAGCTTAGCTTCGCCAATGTATCTTGTCTACTGTAGTCTTGGATGTATTGAATCCTTTTCTCTTTTCTGTTTGTTTTTAGTTAGCTAGAGTCTTGTATCATAAGCCTCGTGTCATCACATTCTCTATAAATAGAGCTCTTCTCTCTATTCTCAATTAGCAATGAATTCCCGAGTCTCTTTCTCTCTCTCTTTCTCTCCCTCTTCTCAAACTCTAATATGGTATTAGAGCTCTCTTTCTGAGGACCTGATCCATTTCGCCTTCCTCAATGGCTTCCGCAACTCATTCTTTAACAGAAACTCATAGCAACGGTAATCAAAGTGGTACGAATTAGTGTTCGAAGTGGAATCATGGAGAACAAAGCACCAACTCTCTGGAACTACCAGATTTCAGCGAAGCTAAGCTAAAGCCTATATATACTCTAATACATTGAATGTTATTTTCTTGTTTCAAGTGACTTTGATATTAACTAGCTCTATGGAACCTGTGAACCATAATATTACATAAGCTTAGGTATTTGGTCTTTTGTGCAGGCACTTTTGCATGCTTCTGTTGCTCGCAATCGTAAGCTTGTTGTGGACTGGGTTCCTGCCGGGGATCTTGAAGATGATACTTTTAAGGAGGTGATTTCTAATCTTTCTACTATTCTGCAGATGTTAGTGTTAGTTAACTGTTTTGTTTTACTTTATGCCAAACCCCTGATGATTAATTTACTGCTTGCAGGATCCTGATGCATATAAAGCTGCTTGGGGTCTTTTGAAGGTTCATAAATTATTCTACTATTTGGACTTTTTTGGACTTAATGCATTATTTCAATTTTCTTATGTTAATACTGCATTGAATTCAAATGCATTCAAATGTTAGTTTATATTCAGGTGTTTCCTAAATGAACTTCTGTTGCAGGGTGCTAATGGGATTCTAGTTCCAGGAGGTTTTGGTGATAGAGGAGTGCAAGGGAAAATTCTTGCTGCTAAGTATGCTCGAGAAAATGGTGTTCCTTACCTGGGCATTTGCTTGGGGATGCAAATTGCTGTCATTGAATTTGCAAGATCTGTTCTGGGTCTTCATGATGCTAATAGCACAGAATTTGATCCTGAAGCCAAAAACCCTTGCGTCATATTTATGCCAGAAGTATATTGCTCGATACTCCCATTTTACTTTGGTGATAATATTCTTCCTTTTAGAATTTAGTTGAGCTGGTTTATATTTTATTGATATAGGGTTCAAAGACTCATATGGGTGGAACTATGCGTCTTGGTTCAAGGAGAACTTACTTTCAAGTTGCTGACTGCAAATCGGCCAAGTTGTAAGGATTAAGAACCAAATTCCAGTTTACTTATATACATTCAAACATACTGCATATGCTGTCATCTCCTAAGGGATAACACACTGCCAAATGTGCTCCAGTACTTGAGTTTTGTTTATGCAAAGACTTTCGTCATCCCGAGTCCAAAAAGAAAATTCATTATCACATATATAATAAAAGACTAATTCAAAATGGTATCTTATGGATCTCTGTCAAATATTGATATCACATCTCTCATACTATAATTTTGGATTTTGCATAGGTATGGTAATGCAAGCTTTATTGATGAGCGACATCGGCATAGATACGAGGTAATCTGTATTTGCATGCAGAAGCTTCCTTTATGGGAAAGATGCATCATTGGTCATGTGCAATAATTGATGTTCTGTGCAGGTTAATCCTGACATGATATCACAACTTGAGAATGCTGGTCTATCTTTTGTTGGAAAAGATGAAACTGGGAGGCGCATGGAGGTGTGTATTTGCATGAAACCCTGATGCCATGGATCTTGAGATTGCCACAAATTGTTAACAATTTTTTGTAATCATGTGCGTTATACAAGTGCAGATAATTGAATTGCCTAGTCATCCTTTCTTTATTGGTGCTCAGTTTCACCCTGAGTTCAAGTCGAGACCAGGGAAACCTTCTCCACTATTCTCAGGTATTTTTTTCTGTAGAGTTACTTCATGCCTGTTTTCATTCAGATTCATTTATTGATATTTTTTTTTTCCAATCATGAAATTATTGATTCACTTTTCTGAGGATTGAAGTATAATTCATACCTTACAATTTTGTCTTGTGTGCCTAAACTTTAAATCTGCATCTTTAAGTTGGAAGTTCCAAAGCTTGGTTGAGATATTTATCTACAAATTTGCTTCGATCATATTGTCCTTTACGTGTTCTGAGTTAAGCATTTTGGTCGTTTTTCATTCCTGGTTTAAAATCTTCTATTGCCTCGATTTTAATTACGCAATAATGACTAAGTATTACTGACAAGGTTAATAATTAAAATGTCTTCATTTTAGCAGCCAACGCCTTTTGTAAACCCTGCAAAAAGAAAAAGAAAAAAAAGCCCATTATTTGTTTTCTAGATATCTATGCATGCATGTTTTCTTCATATTTTGCATAGTTTGATGGAATGATCATTGAATTGTAGAAGCTTAGCTTAATCACCTTTCACTGAATTTGTGGTTTGGATGGTTGTTCCAATTTGCATAAACAATAATCATGCGGAGTATTACAATATGTGCATTAAAGGTGCAATTTATATTATTTCTTTGAATACATTTCTTGTGTTCCATTTAATGGGTAAATTTTTGTTTTTTTATTTTAATCTGTTAAATAGATCACATTGTTGCATTATATGTGTAGTTTGTTCATTTTGTGTTAGACCAAGAGAGGCATTCTATACACTAAATGAATGCCTCACTGTAACAGGATTAATAGCAGCAGCATGTGAGAGGACAGGTGTGCCAGCAAGCAATGGATATGCCAAGTTAACCAATGGGATAAGTAATGGACACTCGCCAAATATGAAAACACATAATGGAAATGGGTTCAAATCTTCCAATGGTTCCTTAAATGGCGGTGTATATACCAATGGCAATGGCATATATGTGGATGGGAGCTGATAAGTAATAATGGGTTCTAATTTTTTGCTTACAAATGTGGTTTGGTTTTCTCTGTACAGTTTTTGACTGGATAGGTAATCATTTAGCTCCAAAGGGGTTTTCTGTCTAGCATGAAGCAAATTTTGAGTCTAACGGCTTTTATATTTACAATCATTAAGGTTGAAGCTTTTGGATGATATTTGTTCACAATGAATCATAATGGTTGTTAGTTTGTCATGATTAATTTGCGTAGGTCTCACCTTAATTTACTAAAAGCATGCAAAGCGATTTAAAATATTTAAAATTATTTGTTTTTCCTTAAATATTAATGAAAATTGTCACGCTCAATAATTTTTTTTTTAATTAATTATTTTTGGAGAAGTTCAAAGCTTCAGAGTAGTTTATTCCCTTTTGTGTTTTTTATCATTTATTTCCATCCGTTCATCACATCATTAAAAAATGGATTTGTCTTGTGGTTTTTTAATCCATACATCTTTAATTTTGAACGCATTTGTTTATTTTGCCCCTTGAATGTTACAATAAGAAAAATTATAAATTATGAGGTAGATGATTAAAAAAATAGTAAAAGGATTTTTTTTTCCCTTTTTATTAGAATAAATAAAAAATATTATGAGGCTTGTGGCGAGGAGCGATGTATAATGGTCATTACTAATGGAAGGTTCCGTTAAACATTCACTGAAATCTATTGCGCAAGAAATTAATTTTAATGCCACATCATGAAAAAATAAAATAAATGTTATATTTTTTGGCACTCGCATTGTAATTAAATTAGGATAAGTTGGCGTGAGGTTCTTAATTTTTTTTTTTTTCAGAAGTTAACAGGCTTATTAATAGTTATTTATGTTTTGTTTGTATTAAGAGTTATATTTACAAATTAAATTATTTATAAACTCTTACAACCAAATTTTAATAGTTTATTATCGTCAATTTAATAATTATGAATTATTGAGAATTAATAATTAATTAATAAGTGTGTCTCAATAAATCACAACCATTAGATTGACAGAAATCAACACTTAAGATTTGGTTGTAAGAAATTATAAACAATTTAATTTGTAAATATAACTCTCCTATTGTTTTAAATATTCAATTTATTTTTGTGAACAAATAAAAAAAAAATTAAAGATAAAATAAAATATTTGGATAATAAAAATACGTATGTTTTATATCATACAATGTCATTAACTATTTACCTCTACAACAATGATATATTCAAATGAAAAATATAAAAAATACATGTTGATGTTGAATAAATACCCCTATTTATAATGGTCACTCATACATCCTATTAGTTTATGGGTTTTGTTTATCTCATTTTTTATTTTTTTTGTAAATTTGTTTATCTCATTTTACATGAGATAAACAACTTTCATACACTCACAAAAAGAGACTATGTCTCACCAATTTTTTTTTTCTCTCTCCTCTTACAACATAAGGTAACTTTTTTTTCCCACTTATAATTTTATTTTATTTTTACAACATAAGATAACTTTTTCTGCAACATGAGAAAAGTATTTCCCTTAGTTTATTCAGTTACTTATTGTTCCTAAGGATAATGTTGATGAATGTTATAAGAAAAAGTTCAAAAATCTCGTAATTTGTTTTTTTATCGCTTGTTCCTATTTTATTTTTTCAATACTTCATCAACCATGTGATTTTCTTAACCGTAAAGTAAAAAGGACAGATTAATTCAATATTTATATGTATTAAAGGGGAATTTGGATGGAAAAAAATCACATGAGTTAAGTGATAGATAAAATATAGAAAGAAATAAATGATTATGAAATAAATTACATTAGGATTTTTGAACTTTTCGTAAAAAAAATTTTAACAGAAAATTTAATTTCACCTGTTTTTAAACTTAATTTGAAGTGATTTTTGATTTTGAAAAGAATGACAACTTTATTTAATGTTTGGTGTAAATTCAAACACAATGTTTAAAACGAAATTCAAACCCAATGGGTGCAGCTCAGTTGGTAACTTGACGCTGAGTTAGTGGGGTTGTATATGTGTTCGATTCCCGCTGAATGCATTCTTGGGGAGGGGGCTGAACCTTTAGCCATCACTGTTCTCCCGCACTCCGGATTAGTCCCATAGCCGACTCAAAGAGTCGAAGCTCGTGGGGATACCAGAGGGAGCCAACTCGTCTCAAAGAGATAATTAGGGTTGGGTAACTTCAAAAAAGAAAAAAAATGTTTAAAACGAAATTTCAAGTATCATTTCACTCACATAACCCTAAAATGAAGGAAATTGAAAATTTAACTTTTATTATGATGTGCTTATTGCAATCAAATATCATTATTTAGTTTTTAAGTTGATGGCCCAAAATATAATTTAGCAGATCTAAATAATTAATAACTATAATGAAAAAGAATGTAGAAACTCCATCAACTTCGGGTGAGTTCTCTGTTTAAAAGTCACTCTAGCAATTTTGTTGTATTTAATTGATGGCCAATTATTTACATACTAGGCGATCTTTGAATTTTTCTTTTCGAATAGCCCATTAAAATCGACTAATTGAATAATTAGTGTTAAACAAAAAAAAAACCCCTAAATTTTGTTCGCGTTACGATCTGGGGAAACCATAAAGAAATCCTAAATTTCTAACCACCTTCTTGAACATGCCATTGCTCGCTCTCATGGCAATACAATTTCGCGATTTTAATGGTTTTTATTGTGGGAAAAATGTTTGTCATTTTGAATGACAGAAAGTTACGTCATACAGAAAATTTGAATTTTAAATTAAAAGAAACCACTCACTTTCTCTTTCTCATGATTTCCGTTTTTCTGTATCTATCTCTCTCCTAAAATGACATAACTTATGTCATTTAAAATGACAAACACCAAACTCTTTTATTATTGTGTTCAACACGTGGGATTAGGGAAGTGTTGTTGCGAGGGACGGTTTGAAGGGTGGGTGAACGATTGATCACGTGCTGAGAGGTTTAGGGAAAGTTGAAGCAGTTTGGGTGGAAGGGGATGATTTGTTGGCATTGAAATTGGAACTACCAATGTAATTTGGTCTCTTTCCGAAAAAAAAAAAAAAAAACTAATGGTACAGCATTATTTTTCTTCAACAAATTTTGCAAATAGAAACGACTTGTAGTATGTAATTGATGCTTTGGATCACTACATCTCTTTGAAGCATTTCATGTTAAACCCACCACTATGTTGGCAGCACAGTTAATTCCAAGTAGTAACTATAGAAAGAAGCTTTGAGCAAGGTTCTAAACGTCCGTTTGGACGAGCTTTTAAAAAAAATGACTTTTTATTCATTATTTTTTTAAATAATCTTTTTTAAAAGGTAAAGTTATTTTACGTTGGATAAATGATCTGAAAATCACTTTTGAATTTTGACACCTCATTTAGGAACCATTAGATCAAAAAAGATCAATGGTGTCACATGCTTACAAATCAGAGTCGTTGATCTTTTTTAATCTAATGGCTTTCAGATGAGATGTCAAAATTTAAATTTGACACTGATATCAAAGAATTCTACCTCTAGTTATATATATCTGAGTCAACAGGTCCAATCAGTGATCCACCATCCGATCAATAACACCGGCTCAATTCTCAGATTAGGTTTAATAACACTGCTCCCATCGAATCATACAAATTTAATAACATTTATGAAAATTACATGATTCCTCTAAATGCAGGAGAGAGGAGGAAGGACTTAGTCACATGTGAGGCAAAAACTTAGGGAAACTAAGCGAAACCGGTGTAAATTAAGCAAACCGTGTCCTTCTTACAGACATTAAATATATAACAGCGATGTTACGCAACAGAAAAAAAAAATAGTTTTTGTTGGATTTCAAAGGTTGATTGTTAGATAAATTAAGTGGAATCAGGACCCCACTCACTCATCTAAAAATGTAGCACATCCCATCAGTCTAGCAAAATAATTTAGGTTGACTGATATTTTTCAGAGGATAATTGCTTATATAATTAATTAAATATGGTCACGGTTATATAATTAATTAAACCATAAACTCAAGTAAACATGGTCATGGTTATATAATTAATTAAATATTTAAATTTTATAACATAAATATAAAATAAAAGTAATTTTTCATACCTTGTTAATTTTTTATGTCAAATTTCATAATAGGAAAAAAAATTGACTTATAAATTAATTTTTTATTTTTAGTTAATAAAATAAAATTTAGATCTAAAAAAAAAAGTATCGGATGCATGTCAGAGCGTTGACTACATGTCAGAGAAAGTCGATCGTGTCAGAAACACATGTCGGAGTATTGACCGTGTGTCCTAAAATATTAACCATGTGTCGGACGCGTATCATAACGTGTCAGAGCGTATCAATGTTCTACACGTGTCTGAGACGCAATTTTTTTTTTAAAAAAGAGTGTCGGTGCTTTCTTGTCCAGCACTCATTTCTTATCTTATATCCTTCTTTTTCAATTTTTTATTATTTAAATTTACAATTTTTTATTTTTATTATTTTCATTTTCTTTATTATATTGGGTACTGCTGTATTTATTTATTTTTATTTGAATTTGAAACCACAAATATTTATTTATATCTCATGTTTTTAAAAAAAAATGAAAAATGAAATATAAAATTTGAATTTATATGTATTTATTCAATTTAAATGATTAAATCAGTAATCCATTGATTAAATCAGTAACCCAATATCTCAACCGGTTCGATTACCAAGTGCGAGTGTGATAACATTGCTATTTTCTATTTAAGGGCCCAACAAGGGAGCATACTCTTCTCATCTCTCATCCTTCGTTTATTACACTTTCGCTTCTATTGTTTCTTCCTTGTCATGGCACTAACTGGTAAACTTAGTGTTGAACTTGGTATCCATGCATCCGCTGATAAGTTCTTCGATCTCTTCGCAAAGCAACTCCACCATCTTCAAAACATCTGTGATAGAGTTCATGGAACCAAGCTGCATCAAGGTGACTGGCATAGCATTGGCTCGGAAAAGCACTGGACTTATACCATAGGTAAATACTTTTGTATTTAAGTTATAAGTTTATATTTTCTCTATCAACTTAAGATAAAATTATCTCTAGCAACTTTAAATTTATCATTTTAAGAATTAGGGAAATTAATGAAAGATATTTGGTTAAATTCATATAACAAGAAACAAATAAATTTTTTGAAATATCTTTCGTCAATTCCCTCAATTCCCAAAGTGCCGTAGTTGTAGAGTTGTTGGAGACAAATTCATCTCTATTTGATAGGAAAACAATAAACCCTTGAATTATATTATGTAAAAAATTGGGTTAATTAATTATTTTTCTATATTTCTCATACAGTGTTTGTGTTATTGATCTTAATTATATTGCTTGTGAAAAATAGATGGTAAGGTGACAACATGTAAGGAGAATATTGAATCCATTGACGAAAGGAACAAAACAATCACATACATCCTCTTCGATGGAGAAATCGATCAGAACTATAAGATCTTTAGGCTCATCTTGCAAGTTATTGCTAGGAATGATGGCGGTGCTGTTGTTAAATGGACTATTGAATATGAGAAGACCAATGAGGATGTTGACCCTCCATTTGGCTACATGGAGTATTTCACCAAAAGTGTTAAAGATATTGATGTTCATCTTCTCAAGGCATAGCTCCAAAAGTTATGAAAAAAATATCAAATCAGAAATAATGGGTTTGGCTTGGGGATAAGTGCTTATCTAAATAATCAGTGTGAAGTTTGACATGAAAATTAAGGATGTTTTCTTTTTCTGTTGATCTTTTGTTTGCATGGAATAAAATTGGAGATGAATGTCATGAAGAGTGTGTTAAATTATATGTTCAAAAGTTATGTAATTTAAATAAATGGACATTCGTGCCTTATATTACTATGACTATTATTAGTTTTTGTCCAATGCTTTATATTCTTTCTGAATTGTTTCAAAAAAAATTTGAAACTTTATTTTTTTTAAGTCTGATTAGCCAAATGTTCACCAATTGAGGGACTGAAGCATTAACTATAAGTTTAGGATACTTAATGTCTAATTTCCGATTGATCATGAATTTAATAGATTAATAAAACTAACTGTCTAAATGGTTGAGTAAGTAAGTAAAATTAGGGACCAATGATGTTTCTAGGGTTTTTTTTTACCCTTTTACCTTTTATTATATAAAAAATAATCATTTTCTTTCTGTTTCAAAACTATACCTCAATTTGCCCAAGAGAAAATTAATCGATTAAATGTCGAAAAAATATATTAATCGATTACTCAACTTTTTTTAATCATTAACTATCGATGCCTTCGTAACAAAGTTGCAGAGGAAGGGTTCTAAGGAAGCATAAGGATTCAAAGGTTCAGAGGAAGTCTAAGTATGACACATTAGACTTCAGAACAGACCTTGCAGCTAAGCATTGTTGCCTGAACTGTGGGAGCACCTATTTTCTCCACAACTTTCCCATTTGAAGGCATGGTACAACAAGGAAGCTGAAATTCTAGTGGATGCTGCAAGCAAAACAAGAAAGCTAAAGCTTCTTCAAAAAATGTGTGATGAACATTTGGATTCTGGAACTCATACATTTGCCGTATACTACAAAGATTGGCTCACTGAAGGAGTAGAATCTCCATTTATTCCTTCTATCGTCATTCCTTCAATATCTGTTATGGGAAGTCAACACGTCAGTTCACATGGTCATTCTTCGGAGTCTGCTAGCTCCCTTGAACCATTCTCACAGTTTTCTGTCTGATTAGATATTAGTCTTCAACTATGTTATAAATGTAGTGTTTATGTACTCTTGATTATTTACTGTTATTAATAGTTCATATTTTTTTTTTTATCAACTTATCTGATTTATCATCTCTAATATGTAGCCAAATAAGATAAGCTCTGCAGTTAAAGGTGAGAAAAGTAACATTTGATTAATATACCTTCCTTCAAATAACCCTTTTTTTTAATCAAATATTGCATTTCCTGGGCAGACAGATAAAGCCCATTTTTGAAGACTATATCTAGATGTTTAGATTTTAGACAACAAAATTTAGTAAGGACGTGTCTAAGAATTGTTACATGGTTGAGCTCCTCACTTTTGTCATGCGGGTCCAGGGGGAAGCCCGTGGCGGGGGGCCACCACCAATGAGTTAAGGCTACACCAACCGTAGCAAGTGGATCCGACACCATGTCTCAACCCAAAACCTTAAAGCATTGGGTTCATGGGTCCTTTCACTTATATACTCTTCACTTAGCTCATTACCAACCAATGTGGGACTCATCACACTTGAATATCCCAACAATCTCTCCCTCAAGTTTGAAACCCACCATTGATTTTCTCCCCCTCAACTGAGTACTCCTGGCCCAAGTACTAAACCCGCCTCCTAGCCTCAGGCTAGCTCGAGCACAACCCGGCTCTGATACCACTGTCAGGCGGGCTTCCCTTTGGACCCGCCCCACCATTGATTTGCTCCCCCTCAACCGAGTACCCCAGGGCCCAAGTACTCAACCCGCCTCCTAGTCAATCACTAGGCTAGCTCGAGCCTAACCCGGCTCTGATACCAATGTCAGGCGGGTTCAGGGGGAAGCCTGTGGCGGGGGGCCACCACCAATGAGCTAAGGCTACACTAACCGTAGCAAGTGGATCCGACACCATGTCTCAACCAAAACCTTAAGGCATTGGATTCATGGGTCCTTTCACTTATATACTCTTCACTTTGCTCATTACCAACCAATGTGGGACTCATCACACTTGAGGGGGAGATTGTTGGGATATTCAAGTGTGATGAGTCCCACATTGGTTGGTAATGGGCTAAGTGAAGAGTATATAAGTGGAAGAACCCATGAACCCAATGCCTTAAGGTTTTGGGTTGAGACATGGTGTCAGATCCACTTGGTGTACTTGGAGTAACTTAGCTCATTGGTGGTGGCCCCCCGCCACGGGCTTTCCCCTGGACACGCCTGACAACTTTGTGCACTATTTAATGCTGGAGTGCATCTTCGTGCCTTCTTAACCATCATCTCTCAGTTGAAAGGTGTTCAAATATATAAAACTATTAATGTAACCTCACCCAACAGCTTAAGTTTTTGGGTTGAATTGGTTCTCTATATGGTATCAGAGTCTCGGTGTACGGGTTCGATCCTCACCGCCCCCCACTCGTGTGAGGGGGCGTGTGAGATATATAAAATCATTAATTTAACCTCACCCAATGTTGAGATATATAAAATCATTAATGTAGCCTCACCCAATAGTTTAAGCTTTTGGGTTGAATTGGTTCTTTACATGGTATCAGAGCCTCGTGTGTTCGATCCTCGCCGCCGCCCCACTTTCTTTTAAGTGGAATTTCTTTGTTCGCACGGTAGGTGGGCATGTGCATTGTCCACCCTTCAAGCATGTTGAAATATATAAAACTATTAATGTAACTTGACCCAACAGCTTAAACTTTTGGGTTGAATTGGTTCTCTACATGATATCAGAGCCTCGTTATCCTAGAAGGATCCTTAATTTCAGTAAAATATCAGGTTTGGCACCTTCTACACTTTTAATCTATTTTTATTAGCTAATGTAAAAGCCTAGTACACTTCTAAGAGAGAAAAAAAAACACAAATGATGTTGATACCTTTTGTAACTACACAATTAAATGATCCATCTAATATAGCAAGTAATAAAACATCTTAATGAACAACATTTCAAGAAAAAATGCCCTAGTTCATATTCCCAAAATAAAGGTTCTTGGATAAGTATAGTAATTCACTTTGTACATTTAAATTATAAAATTTCCATTTATTTATGTGAAATTATTCAAAACAATCTTCTCGCAGCCTTAGTGATTATGAACATTCTCATTATGAAAACCTGGCTCCTCGATGCTATACTTTATGACAGGATCAATATATATATATACACATATATATATAGGGCTTATCATTTCTCAAGCTGCCGGAGATAAAGTTATTTCCGACTACTAAATCATAATCGTACAAAGATGGATCAATGGTAATAAAGGAAGAGAGAGAAAAGGAAAATCATAACTATTCAAAGGTGAATCAAAACATATAAGGAAATAAATAATCAAAACGACGTAGTTTTGGGGTGGCCGGAGATAAATTTATCTCAAGCAGCTTGAGAAATGTTTTTCACATATATATATGGGCTTATCATTTCTCAAGTTGCCGGAGATAAAGTTATTTCCCATATATATATATATCGAAGCTTGTTTGCTTCTCAGGCCCACTATATAAGAACCATATCTCACACAAGGATACCAACACAAACCACCTTAATTGGATCCAAATGAAGATCACGAAGAGATCTGAATATAAAATAGATACCATTGAAAGCATATGATGGTTCTTCTGTTCTTTGCATCTGCAACTTTATAAAGAAATTCAACCACCATCGTATGTCTCTCTCCTCTTTTCTTTACTTTTTCTCTCTCCTTCATACAGCAAGGTTCTGAAGTCTAATGTCTCATACCTAGACTTCCTCTGAACCTTTGAACCCTTATGCTTCCTTTGAACCCTTCCTCTGCAATTTTGTTATTTGTTATGAAGGCATCATAGTTAATCGATTAAAAAAGTTGAATAATAGATTAATATATTTTTTCAACACTTAATCGATTAATTCTCTCTTGTAATCGATTAAAGAGGAATAATCTTGAAATAGAGACAAAGTGGTTGTTTTTTATTTAATAAGGGACAAAAAGATCAAAAAGTCTTATAAATTCCAAAGAATAAATAGATGAACCAAAGTAGAAAGGATAAATAGATGAACCAAAGTAGAATAAATTACAAAGTTTGAATGTGGTAAAATAATTGCTTGTTTGCAGCATGGATTATAAATTCCTCTTATAAATCTTATTCACATTAGGTCAGAGTTTATCTTCATAGAATAAAATGTCTTTGTTTATGTGTTACCATCAGTTACCTTTGTTTCATTTTAATATTTTGGATAGCCTTGTAACACCTGTAGATTATGAGGTAAAAAATAGAAGAGAGAATGTTATTATTCTCAGTTATGTCTCCTCCAATTTGAATAAGACAATCATAAATGATGAAGCATTGATAATCATATTTAATACTGGCACATAATTAAATTATATCAGTATAAGAATAATAAATTTTACACTCAAATGTAATCCTTTTTTTTTTGAAAAGCAAACAGGAAACATAAAACTCAAATGTAATCCTTGATTTACACGCGTCTGATGATTATAATTTATTAAATTGTACTCATTAATTAATAAATAATTTTTAATAAATTATGATAGTCAAATACACATAGATTAATGATTAAGATTGTAGGGTAAAAATCAACAATCATTAAGATTTATAATTTTTTTATCATTGACTGATAATAAAGAAAGAACCCCACAAAGATAATATCTATTATCTTGTAGCCTAAAAATTGGAACATCTAATATAGGGGTAAGCTATTTCACGCTGCTGGTCTCTACATTTATCATACTCCCAACTTGTTTTTCATAAAAGACTATAAACACAACATCTTAAGCTATTTATTGCAGCTACTTGATCATCGAATAACTCATTCTAAGTCATTAATTCGTGCATTAATTGTTTCAACATGATAGACTCAAGCAAATGGACAACAATTACTGAAAGAAAACACTGGGAAAGTGATATTATCAACTGCAATTTCGAGTATGCCGGTTACTCCAGAAGATATTCGTAAGGGGGATGAAGAAAGTTGTTACACAATTTTTCACACCTTTCTACGTGGTCCCTACTATTCCTATATAGTAAAACAGAATTGAAATGCTTCATAAATCCTACAATGGGCTTGTATATAACAAAGGCCCATTTACATTGCTTAAAGGAATTGTAATTACTTAATTGGACTGAGTGTATCCAGCCCACTGTTGTTTATTAATCCCTTATACCAGCCAAGCTAGCCACGTGTTGACGTTAGGAAGTCACTAAGCCACTGAGGTGGCTTCCTCTGTCTCTTCTCTCTGCTAATTGACACACGAGTCCCTGTAGGTGTCTCCTTCTCCATTTCTTGGTCAACACTGGTATCATCTTCAGCACTGAGGATATGCTCATTAAGAGGAGGTTTAGGAAGGTTCCTATCAATTCCCCCACCCCTTGAAGACACGATCTTGTCCTCAAGATCGAAACTTGGGAAGGCTTGATAGAATTCATCGAAGGAGATCCAGGTGGCATCTTCTAAAGGGAGGCCTAACCATTGTACCAACAGTTGCAAGGTCTCTTTTTTTTCCGTGTTGGAGGACAC